TCAGCAGGGGTGAAAGCCCTATGCTGAAATGGGGTCTTGGATTTGAGGTCACAGTTGGAGGGGAAGGAGAGTCCATGTTCCCAGGTGTGAATTTCAAGCATAAGCAATCAGGAACAGAAAAGCACATGGAGGCCACACCTTTGAACTTCTCCAAGAGACCATTTATTTACCTGTATTGCACACAGAAACCCTTGGACACCTGTAGCTAAGGAGAAATAAGAGCCGGATGAAATGCCTACTTGCAGGAAGCTGTGTGTGCAGCAGGGGGAAGGGTGTTAAGGCTAAACCACCTGATTCAGTATAGAGATCCTTCAGCTTACTTTCCATCTGGGAAGAACGAATCAAATGTGGATTTAGGGGAAGTGGCTAAAATGAAACTTGTCTGTATTCGAGCTGCTGAAGGGCCTATGGCTGTCACCTCTAGGTTCTCAACTCATTTTCCCTGTTCCCTACCTAGTATAAAATAGAATTCTTGGGTATTACCATTTTGAGAAGACCATGCTGCCAGCACACTAGGCCTCTGATTTCCACATTGCTCACTGAAGGGAGCTAGGATTAGCCGAGTGACTATCAGACTGTCACTGCCATTGAAGGACTGTGGCAGACCTCCAGGGACTTTGGGATAACCCCAAGCTAACCCTGTGTTGGACTCTCTCTCAGTGCAGACTGTATGTAGCCAACACTCGCTCTGCCTCTCCACAGGGTGGGAGAAAAGGGTAAAGAGAAACAAAATTGGGCAAAAGAGAACACAGACATGACACTGCAAAATGTGGAGGAATGAGGGATGAATTAATTCCACGTGTTTCATGGTAGCCTTTGTTTTAGTTTGGAAGGAGTCTGTCTTCTTTTCTCTCATAAATTATGTAGACAAAACATCAGATACCACAACTGAGGTAATTTTTACAAAAATGCTTCTATAGAATTCAGAATGGCTGGTAGATCACCTGTTACATTAAACAGAATCATCTTAAATAGGTACTATTTTTTTAGATGGTTTGAACTCAAGGCCTACACCTTGACCCACTTTGCCAGCCCTTTTCTTGTGACAGGTATTTTCAAGACAGGGTCTCGCAAACTATTTGTCCAGACTGGCTTTGAATTGCAATTCTCTTGACCTTTGCCTGTTGAGTAGGTAGGACTGCAGGTGTGAGCCACAGGCACCCAGCAAAATGTTCTGATGAGTGTAATATGTTTATATTTTTGTGGACTGGGGTTTGAATTCAGGGCTTCACACCTGCAAAGCAGGTGCTCTATCACACCTCCAGTCTGGACTACTAATTTTAGAGAACTGAAACATGACAAAATATGCAACATGGAAGTTACACTTAGCATATGGCAAAGTGATACTGCTTTTGATAGAGTTCCCTTTAGGATTTGGTGGCTCCTTAATGGTGGTATCCAGGTAAAAAGAAGGGAAAAGAGGAGAGGAGAGTATCAATTAGAACTAAAGCTGTAAATGATTATGAAATGTTTTTATTAAAGTAAGCCACTAATTTAGGCAGTAGGCTTTTCCTAAGCCAACTGACTCACAAATAGGCAGAATGTTATGTAGAGTTGTGTTCGGTTTTTAGTTTAGATGTGTGGATTTTTACTGCATAATGTACATGTTTGCAGTATAGAATTATAGAGTATAGATTTTTTTAAGAGGTTGCCATAACATTTCAGAAATAAAAGGCATGCATGCCCATAATGGGAAATTTTGTAGTTTCTGTAAGTGCTCCTTTCTGTAAGAGATTATAACAGTCTCTGAATTTATAACACCCAGAGGTGTGAATGAATACACCATTATCATTCCCTGTACTGTGATCTCACATACACCAGCAAATGAAGCCCCTGGCTTTTTCTAGTTCATCTAAAAGCTCAAAAAACGCCTGCAGTGACCCATTGAGGCCTTGCCAAATCAGAGCAGTGGCATTTGGGCTCAAAGATGATATGATAAATTAGCAAAAAATAGTAATTAAAGGTCTGATGGAACAGGAAAGGACTCAAGTGCCCACGCACTTTAGACAGCTCAGCAGGCGACAGCTTTTTTATTACAACAGGTGTAACTGCCTAGTGTGAAATGTAAAATAAATGGGGATTAGACTCTCATCAATTGCAGCCTACCTGTTTTTCTCTCTCATAAAGAAAAGTATCTGAATGAAGGATGAAACTTTCTGGAAGAGGGCTTTGTCCATTGCTTTGTGCTACAAGTGGGAAGGGCCAGTAATGCTCCATTGCTTGGGAACCTTCTGAGGTACTGTTAAAAACTGGGCTTAGGAGTACAGTAGGACTTGGTAGAAGCAGTATTTTAGACTTTTCCCAAATTGGATTTCTTTCTCTTTCTTTTCTGAGAATTTGCACCAGGTACTGGCAGACAGGCCTGGTACCTTTCATGGTGAGTGAGATTGAGCTCCTGTACACATCTTTGAATCTAGTACCAGTGGCTCATGCCTGTCATCCTAGCTACTTGAGAGGCTGAGATCAGGAGGATCATGGTTCAAGATCAGCCTGGACAAATAGCTCACAAGACTCCATCTCCAAAATAACTAGAGAAAAATGAACTAGAGGTGTGGCTCAAGTGGTAGAACACCTGCTTTGTAAGCACAAAGCCCTAAGTTGAAACCCCAGTCTCCCCCTCCCCCTCAAAAAGGTGGATTATCTGTCCTTTGTTCTGGCTCAACTGAAAAAAAAAGTTTCTTACTTGTAACTGGGCATTTAAGCCCAAAAGGAATCAAGACCAAAACTTCAGGACTTCAGGTTACTATAGAATGCTGCATTTCATAACCATATTTCGATATTTTGAGGCATGGAACAGGTGCTTGATCAGTCTATGTTGAATGCTAAATGAACTAACAGACATACATTGGCATATTAAAACCCATCTAATCATTATTTCTCAATGCTTTTTTTCCCCTAGTGCCACTATCAATAAATACTAGACTAGGAAAAGGCTGCGTCAGGCAGTACTGATGTAAGACTTCAACCTATTGCTTTATTTCTGTCTTCAAGACTGAGATGTGGCTTATCAACAATTCCCTATCACCTAAGCTCACCTATTACTTACAATTCTGTCTTTCCTGCTTGTGTGTTACAATGAAGGATCAAGGCCATTGCCCAGGTTGTTTAGGTCAGAAAGAACTTCTCCCTGCCTGGCTCCGTTCTTTCCTTCAGCACTTAACTGAGTGTCTGCAGAAGGTTCAAGGGTAGATCAGATGAATCACTTCAGCTCCTGGACTTCTCCAGACACAGGGCAAGAGACTTCTGAATGTCAAGAACTACTCTCCCGGGGGAGCAAGGAGCATCTGAGAAGCACATTAATTTGCTTTTTTATAATTTATTACTACACTGACTTGGGAGAAAAGCTGGAAAATTCCCTGGATGCCTAGGAAATCAGAGATCTTTCTGGTTCTAATTCAATGCTTAAAATTTTCTCTTTCTAGACTATTGGTTTGTTAAAAACAGACTAGGTAAACATCTTTGATGTACTACAGCGAAAACAGTATATATTCTAAAACCGTATACATATTTTTTAAATGTGAGGTCTTAAAGGACAGATATTTACTCTGTGGGACATTGCAAGAAATTTCAACAAATCGAGCACACGGAATAGAGCACAGGAGCCACACGGTTAGAACTGAACTTTTTAGATAAAGGCAGTGAAGACTATGCAAGGTGGTATGTGTGCAGAGCAGCAGTTTGTTTTCATATTAATTTCAGGGAAATGTAAATTTTCTCTCTCTTCTTATAGAACACCATCTTGTGTCTTCTGTTTCAGCTATCGTCATTGTATCTGTTAGGTTCCAAAACTCCTTTAGGGTATAGATTACATCAATCATTTTTATCCTTGCTGATCACAGAGTCGTTAGTTTTAAACTATTTTATGACGAAAGAGGTGAAGAAGGTCAAAACCCAAAAAACACAGCAATGAGAACAGTGTTAATAGAACGCGTGGACAGAAGACTTCCATTTGAGTCGATGAACCGGCACCCTCCCATTTCTCCTGCCAAGCAGAACTAAAAGCTCTGGACACAATAACCAAACAGAAGACTGAATGGTGCAGAGAAAAGAAGGCGGTATACCAGCTAGGGGCCTTGGCCTTAGCACGTGAACTAATGAGAAAGCATTGATTGAGTTCTTTGGCTACTTTTGTGGTTGACTTTTTTTTTTTTTGGTAATATTGAGATTTGAACTCAGGGCCTCACACTTACTAGGCAGACACTCTACCATGTAAGCCATGCCTTCAGTCCTTTCTGGTTTAGTTATTTTTCAGGTAGGGTCTTATGCTTCTGCTCCGGCTAGCCTTAAACCACCAACCTCCTACTTCTGCCTCCCCAATAGCTAGGATTACAGGCTTGTGACTTGACACAAACCTGTTGCCAGTTTTTGTGGTCTCATATAATCATGTCGTAAGAGTTGAAGAAGATGGCAATGACAACAGGACCCAGCCAAAGCTGTTTTCTATTCCCAGATGACCAGCAAGGGGTAGCCCTCCAAGACAAAGATTGATCATGCCAAGGGCTCAACAATGTGGCAGCCGATGCCACAGCAAATCTGGTCCATCAGGTAAGGCCCAGCAAGTAGCCTTGACTTCCAGCTGGACCAGGCTGCAATCAGACCCCAACAAGGTGGCACCTGAGAAGGCCGGGCAAGAAGCTGGGTAAAGACTAAACTCCCTACTGTGGAGTTAGTGTGAACAAAGAGAGAGGCCTGGACGTCCACCCCTCACCTGGCTGTGATAGACTCCTCCCCATCCATATCAGGTGGTGTCAGAAGAGCCTCACCCAGCTGGTGTCAGTGAGGCCACTGAAGAATAGCAAGGAGGTACTCCAGAGACCTCATGGGAAGCCTGGTCTCCCACCTGGGCCCAGCAGCCTCCTTCAGGGGGGCTACAGCTGAGTGGGCACCTGGAGCTTCTACCCTCACCTGGCAGTCATAAGGAAGCCAGGTAAGACAGGAGGATCCTTCAAGATCCAGAGTCTCAGCAGAACCAATGATGATGACACAGTGAGGTTCTGTACCTGTTCCTGAAAGATCTTGGCCAAAGGGGCGCAGTCTGTCAGCTTGATGAACCTCACCACGTCAGTGACAGTCCACTCCAATGGGTTGCTCTCCAGTACAAGCCTTTCCTCTTCCTCCTGTTTCGCTTCCTGCAGGGGAAGGGGGACAGGACATGGTCACTGCATCCTGCAGGGTCAACTGTATCCTTTCTAACAGCCTCCAGCCCTCAGCCACTGTGCTGGCCAGGACCCATGGCCTCCCTTCATCTCTCACAAGTTACTTCTTAGCAACTTGTCTCTGGTGACTTCTGCTGCACCTGTAATGTCCATGTGCCTTTAGAGATTAAAAACAAAAGCACAGTGACAGTGACAGCCAATCTTGAGGCCCCAGTTCAGGGAATCTTGGGCATCTTGAACCATCTAATTACAGAGGAAAGGAAAGGCCAGAGGGTGTATCCAAGGGCACATAGGAGAGACACCTAAGTCAATCCACACTGACCTATGTCAGTCCACACTGACTTTTTATTTTTGGGACAGGGTCTCAAAAAAAAAAAAAAAAAAAAAAACCATCCAGCCCAGGCTGGCTTCAAACTTGCAATTCTCCTGCCTCAGTCTCCAGAGTGCTGAGATTATAGATGTGCAGCACCATGCCTAGCTGTTCCCACTGACTTTCGTGATGATGGTACCAGTGACGTTTGCAGCGACCACACATCACTGTGAGGTTAGTGGAGGCCTGGTGCACAGGCTTAGTATTTTATGACACCACAGAGGTGTTTCACAGAAGCAGGGAACAGGGAGCAAGGGCAGAAATAGGAGTTGTGGGGATGGAATTTTGGAATCCCCATGATCAAAGGTACCTACAGGGCCTGACCACCACTACCCCCATTACAAGAAGCCCTGATGGGATTAAAGCCATCCAGAAATGAGGATGCTATTCCGGCCCTGAGAGCTGCTGTCTGATGCCGCACGACCACTCTACCAAGAGATGAAATGAGTTTTCTGCCCTTGGACTTGGGGTCTTTGACAATTAACAGTTTTTAATTCTTTAAATGAGTTTCTGCAATCCCACCCTGAGCTCTAGTTCATGGGCAACATGCCCTCTGCTCCCAGAGCTCACCTCTGGGCCCTCGGGCCTGGCAGGCAGACCCTTGTCCCCATCCTCAGGAGAGGCGATGGCTGGCGCTGGGCGGCTCCTTCGCACCCTCTCCACTGGTGGCCGGCGTGCGGCCTCCGAGCTGCTCCGCAGGGTGGCAGCCCTCCGGGGCCGGGCAGAGGGCACCTCTGCCGATGAGGTGTCGGTCTGGTCGTCCCGGACCTCAGAGCCAGTCTCCTCGCTCGCAGTGTCATTGTCCAGGGCGTCTGCGTCCTCCTCTTCACTTTCCTGAGAAGAGAAATGCATTTAAGGGGCGAGTAGCAGGAACCTGAGTGAACAAAGCTGGGTGGCCTGAACCTGTAGCCACATAGCCCGACCCTGATCCCAGCTCCTCTTCCTTTTCCAGGGGCAGCCGTGCAAAGCCACAACACATAAAGATGCCGTGAGGTGCTTCTCATTGTTTCTAACCACTCTGCAGCAAGCTTCACCCACAGCTTTCTCTATACAACAGTAACAGGCCAGTGAGAGCAATGTGTCAAAACCAGACGCTGGAGCCGGGTATGGTGGCTCACACCTGTAATCCCAGTACTCAGGAGGTGGAGGTAGGAGGATTGTGAGTTTGAGGCCAGCCTGGAATACATAGCAACACCCCGTCTCAAACAAAGGAGGTGTGCATGCAAGTCCACACATCTAATCCCAACTACTCAAGAGGCAGAGGTAGGAGGCCAGGAGTGGAGGGGAAGAAAGTGTGAGACCCTTTCTGAAACACTAAAAGCAAAGGGACCGAGGGTGAGGTCAAGTGGAAAAGAGCTTGCCTAGCAAGTGCAGCACCCTGAGTTCAGTCCCCAGGACCACTGAAAAATACAAAGTCAGAGAGTGCTTTCTAAGCGGCGTGTACCTCTCCCGAGCCTGCAGTCAAGTCCACAGTGGAAGATCTCCGTTTCTTCTGCACGAAGATGGATTTTCGTCGTTTCCTCCTTCTGGCTGGTTTGGGGTGTCCGCTCTCAGTGCTGCTTTCCCCGATCGGGGGCTTAATGATCTTCTTTCTCTTCCCGTAATAATAGGCTGATGGGAGAAAGACGGTTTTACCAAACAGGACCAAAGCACAGCACGCTCTTAGAGCCTTAGGATCACACTGGTGACCCCGACTGCTCTCAGTCCCACCAGACATTGTTCTGTTTCCCATGGCTGAGCTCAAGTTTGAGCTGCAGCATTACGCACTCTAAAATGACCCAAGAGGTCTGAGGAGATGGAAGTTTTATGAAACCAGACCCAGAATCAACTTTAAGTCACTTCCGTGGTGTGTAATTTTGCTGTAAGCCTGCTCCCACGCTGTGTCCTGGATGTGCAAGGAAACCCATTTGTAAGGTAAGCCTTCAAGGCCAGGTGTAGTCCTCAGTGAAGTGAGTTTCTAGTCAAGAGTGGCCATTGCCCAGTGAATCCCTCCCTGGCCTAAAGTCAGGTGACGTGAAAACAAGAAGGGTGTCAGGAACACACCCACAGCTCTCACCCAAGATCAGGTGTGTAGACGGAAAAGGGAGCAAGTGATGGAGAGCATAGCTGACCTTTAGCAGGACTGGCAGTGAAGGAAGACTTGGTGTGTGTGTGTGTGAGAGAGAGAGACAGAGACAGAGCGCATGTGTGGGGTATGTGTGTGTGAGAGAGAGAAAGAGAGAGAATCACAGAGAGGCAGCTATGATAGAAGAGTCACATTCCGAACATTGTAAAGGACATTCTGATTCCTGGTTCTGACACATAAGTTGACAAATGACAAGTGGCTGTGGCTCACAGAGCACCGACCACATGGCATGGGTCCTTGTCATATTCTAGCAGGTAGCTGGAATTTGGGCCGGCAGAGCCAACCTCCAGGCCAGTACCCTGGGACCAGAGAGAACTAAGGACAGAGGGAGGAAGCTCAGAAGCTATGGATCAGAGAGAGTTTGCATGCAGAGTTGTAGGTACTCACGGTGAGGTGTCTGCAGTGGCTACTGGGGTGCAGAGGGAGGTCATCAGAACACAGGAGGGGCAGGACTGAGCAGAGGTCTCTTAGTGGGATAGGCATGGCAGAGGTACGTGCTAAATGTCAGGAAAGTGAGGCCAAACCTGGCTCCTGAGTCATGGTGGAGAAGCAAAGGCATTGGGAACAAAGAAAGGGGTGGTTGTTTCTGCGTCCTCCAATTACAGTCCTGAGAGTTTTGCAGGATGTGTCTAAGTAGGGAGAAGCAGAGTGTGACAAGGACAGGGCAAGAAGGGCAATGAAGGGCCAGCCGTGAAGCTCCTGCCTGTAATCCCAGCTATTCAGGAGGCTGAGATTAGAGGGACTGCAGTTTGAGGCCAGATGGAGAAAATTTAGCAAGACCCCATCTCAGTCAATAAGTCAGATGTCCATGGCACACGCCTGTGACCCTAGCTACATGGGAGGTGTAGGTAGGAGGATCACAGTCAGAGGACAGGCCTGGTCAAAAATGCAAGCCCCTACCTGAAATATAACTAAAGCAAAAAACAAAAGGCTGGGGGTGTGGCTCAAGTGGTAGAGTGCCTGCCTAGCAAGTGCAATAATTAATTAATAAATAAATACAGGGCAGTGTAAGAATCATTACAGCTTTTCAGTGTAAGGACAAGAAATCAATCCGGGTTCCCAACCATCACTAGCAGTCAGTTTATCGTGCCCTTCTTCTAGCCATAGTTCTGGGATCGGTCTATTGGTATCCACATTCTCCTCTCTTCTTTCCTGAAGTCTACCTGTGAGGACCCGACCTGTGTTGACCCACCCCATCCCTTCCTTATGCCAGCCTAAAAACTGCTGTGAATCTGCTGTTCACTTTAGCAAATCCTAAGGATGTCTCCAGAATAATTCTTAAGAAAAACTACTGGAACGGTTAAAAACAAGACAAAACCCAAATGCATCTCAGCACTGTTTAGGCCTAGGGACCCAGGTTTTTTTTCTTCTCCATCTGCACTTACTGTATTTGGTTTTGGTGTGAATGGAGCAGTTCTCTGGGCAGTTTTCAGAAACCAGCACAGGACTGAACAAATTCGGACAGCACTCTAGCTTGGCACAAACTCGACGGCAGAAATTTGCTACTTGGTCAGATGTTCGGACAATCTTGACCACAGCCCTGTACGTTTTGCCTCTGTATCTAGAGAAAAAAAAAAAAAGAAGAGAAAGTGATGGGAAGACCCAATTATTATACAGACTTACTCTATTACAGAACAGTCAAAAGCAGTCACTTCCTTTTCCAACAACAAATCATGTGGTGTGTGCCTTCCACTCTGTATACTTCTTTACAGTCTCACAAATTACCTATCTATCTATCTACCCATCTATCTGTGGAAAACTGAGTTTAAACTCTGGGTCATGGGCTTGCTAGGCAGGCGCTCTACCACTTAAGCCATGCCCCAGCCCTTTTTGCTTTAGTTATTTTTCAGATAGGGTCTCCTGCTTTCTTCCAGGCCGGCCTCAGATTGTGACCCTCCTACTTGTACTTCCTATATAGCTCAGATTTTGTACAGAAGTGCACCACTATAGACCCAGCTTGATTGTAGAGATGGGGTCTTGCTAACTGTTGCCTGGGCTGGTTACAATTCTCTGCCTCCCTAGTAGCTGGGATTACAGTGTAAGCTACTATACCCCGCTCACAAAATTATTTTTAAGAAATGCTCACAGTATGCACAAAATATGTGTCAACAGTGTTAGTCACCGTAGTAAAGATTTCTATGTAGTGGGTCTCTTCCTGCTACAGATAACTAGGGCACGGTACCTAGTGGTGGTGGCACTCAAAATGAAGTTAATGAGATTTAATGGAACCTTTTCCTGCTGCTCTATCTATGGGTGCACATGGGATCGTGACTGTGCTTTGAAAGACCATGCAGAACTCAGAACACGAAATGACACCTTGGTCAAGACTGCGTACTGCACTGTTGAAGTGGGGACAACTTCCACTATTCATAAATGTCATCATGCAGATTGGTGATGGGAAGCAAGGCCACATTTGAAAGGAGAGAAAACACAATGGGTTTTAGAAGAAAAAAAGCAAAAACTGCAGCACAGCCACGAGCCGAAGGACTGTGAGGATTCCTGGCACTGAAGATGCTGGCAGCCTCAGCCACAGAAACCGTGTGAAGTGGCAAAGCCACCAACCACACCATGCTCACCAGGTGACCTTTCCTGTCCCTTTCCAGGTATGGATGGTGACATGTTGAGCCATCAAGTAAAACCACTTCTAGAGAAACCATCTGCCCTCCTGATCCTCCCGACACCGTTTTGGGTTCCTCTACAAAGCCGCACCTCTGATCTGTTCTGCACACACACGGCAGGGGATGAGGCCACCACGCCCAGAAACCAACAGGTTTTCTTAAGAATCTTTATTTTATGCGACGGAGTCTTTGGAAAGTTTGAGTCTTTATTTGTATATGAGGAATAATAAAATGCATTTTCCAGTTAAAAACAAAAAATACCCAAAGCAGTAAATTTAGACAAGGGACCTCACCTGGGACACCTTCACTCTTACGGTGTCTCCCCGCCTCCTCATTCACACACGTGAGTCCTAATCCCCAGTGTGCCTGTTCCTGGGGCATTTAGAATGGGGACTTTAAAGAAATTAAGGGTAAGTTATGTCTATAAGGGGAGTCCTGTCGCAGCAGGACTAGTGTCCTTATGAGGACAGGAAGAGACAACAGAGATATGAGCACAGAGAATAGGGCATGTGAGGGCACAGGAGGAAGACAGCCATACACAAGCCAAGGAGAGAGATCTCAGGAGGCACCAGCTCTGCTGACACCTTGAACTTAGCCTTGCAGCCTCCAGGACTGAGAGGAAGAGGAAATGAATGTTTGTGGCTGAAGTCACTCAGCCGGTGGTGTTTTGTTACAGCAGCGTTTGCTGACTAGTACAACTCATGCCTCAAGTGGGAAAGGGAGAGACAAGGGCAGGCACCCCAGACAATCTGTTAGTCACAAGGCTCTGACTGTGACTGCTGCTGGCTCTGCCCCTTTTCGCTTTCTTGGTTTACATTTTATAAGGATTCTCTGAGGTCAATCTTCAGTGTTTTTCTCTTCTCTTAGGGGGAAGACCAGTCTAGACTAAGGGTTCTCAAACCATTTTCAAAGCAGCAGAAAAATAAGACCTGGGAACTCAAACACCTTTTATACTTACCCACGACCATCTGATTTATGGTATGGGAATCTTAAACACACAACTAATATTTGAGTATTATTGCATGCTACTTAAATAGGAATCAATCTCTTCTGCTCTTCTCCACAGTGAAAAGCACAGGTGATATTGCTGAAGTGTAAGTATCTAGTGAAAAATGAAAATTCACGCCTTCCCTGCCTCTCCCCACCTAGCAGCCTGACAAAGAGTTCAGAATGAGGATGATCCTGACCTTTACAAGTTGTCATCTGTTGCTCATGACCCTTGAAAAAACTCTCTCCTGCCTAAGAAGGAACACGTGCAACGAAGTCATGAACATGAAACTAGCCACCAGATCTACAGAAGGCACGACACGTGGTTCTTCTTTTAAATGTAACTCCTGAATCCTTTATTCAAGATTTTATGGTAATAGGACATAAATACAACCTGGCTGAAAACACAAACACTTGGAAATAAGTTTCAATCACCTTTTAGCATGTCTTTTAAAATATCATAGGGGTTAGAAGCGTGGCTCAAGTGACAGAGCAATCGGCTAGAAAGTGTGAGGCACTGAGTTCAAACCCCAGCATCACAAAAAGCAGATGATGATGACAAAAAACTATCATGGGTACAAAATAATGATAAACTTTCTAGTAGGCATTAGATCATAGTTCATACCGACTAAACTTAAGAGGCCACGGATGTGTGGACGGATTAAAGTAGCTGTATCTCTCAGGTTGCGCCTTTAGTGTGGGTCCTTATATTTTAGGCAGGTGCTCTACCGCTTAAGCCATGTACCCTGGCATGAGCCATTATTTTAAAGTTGAACTCTTAAACAATTTATTTTTGCAAAGAAACCACACGTTGTGGTAGACTTTGCAGATTAACACCTGTGTCATTTCTGGAAGACAACCAAGATCACGAGGAATGACCTTCCCAGGTAAGCTGACAATACTGTCCAATGAGATGAGGACCCGAAATCTTTGTCTAATCTGCTCTTCCCACACTTGACATTCAAAGTCAACAATCCACAATGGGACGTGAGGAACATCAGACAATTAATTTGTACAAACATGACTATGAAATGAGATGGTCATGTTTGTAATTTGCAGGTAAAGCATTAACTTAAATAAAACCTTGACTTGTTTTTCAAAGAATAATACAGAGGTAGAAATTACTACTGAGTATATTATTTCAACTTTGCTTTTTGTGTTTTTGGAGACTAGAAAAAATACATTTTCCCTAATAAATCATTTTTTAAAGCCTCAACAGCAAAACAACTAAATTGTAACTTGAAAAAATGCACTTTATACTTAATCCACTGCTCTTTCATATCCTGGGGTCTCTGCCCTCCTTTTTCTTCCATTTCTCTGATGTGCCAAGGCTGACTTTCTATGGATAAGAACTAAAAAGGTAATGCTTTGTAGATAAAACCAGGCTTCAAATCCTATATTCTTGCACAACTGTTGATTTTTCTAGAGCTCTATCGATCCTAAATGTAGAAACTCCCCTCTGTGTGCCCCAGAGGGGGCCCTGCTTCGGGGGAAGAGTCTCACTTCCTGCTTTTGTGATATTTCATGACAAAAACAGCCCAACTCTGTGAACACAGTACGCCCCTCACGTTGTGGGAAATGTAGAAGAAAAACACCATATGGGTCCATTTCCCCTTGAGGTTTTACTTGCCACATGTTTGGTCCTAGGGCTCTGTTTAAGAGAATCTAAAGAATCTTCACTGTGAACACTCTACAGTCTCCTTAAAAAATAAAACATCATGGCACTCCACAGCAGAAGAGATGTGAAGACCAGGTCAGATGCTGAACTGGGGGGGGAGAGCCCAAAGACCAGACATTTATGTTCACCCAATCTCCGAGTTAGAAAGCACACGGGTGCCATGTGACACGTGGCAGGGACGTATGGAGAAAGGGAATGGTCGCAAGTGCAACAAGGGAAAAGGTGGCCTCTTGTTTCGTTGGTAGGGTGATTCAGAGGAAGCAGGTGTTTTAGTAGAACCTTTCATAATTAGAAAAAACCCATCTAAACATATGGAAATGAGAACTACAGCACAGTTTTGTTGTTTTTGGCAGCACTGGGAGTTCAACTCAGGCGCCTGCTCTTACTAGGCAGGTGCTCTGCCATGTAAGCCAAGGCCACAGCCCTCTTTTGCTTTAGCTAATTTTCAGGTAGGATCTCACAGTTTTTTTTTGCCCCAGGCCTGGCCTCAGACTGTGATCCTCTTACCTATGCCTCCCAAACAGCTGAGATTATAGGCGTGAGCCACCAGACCTACAGCACTGTTTAAAACTAACAACGCCTTTCCTGTACCATTGTGTCCAAAAGCCATGGCATCAGTGGAGGGATTGAGTAAGGAGGGGTTCTGGGCTGGGGGGCTGCCAGACCTCCTTTCTCGTGGGACTGGTTGTCCCAGGTGAGGAAGGCCTTCTGGAAGACAGCCTTCCTCTGTAGCCCCTTTGGGGTCTGCCTCAGCAGCCCAAGGCTGCTTTGCTCCCAGCCTTTTCGGGGAAAGATCTCATCAAGCCACTGCCTATGAAAGAGGTGAACAGGTGTGTCCAGTTGTCCCAACTCAGGACATGAAGGGCCATTCTAACCCCAGAGCTGCCTGAGAGCTACTACCAGACTTCACAGCAGATTGGTCTCGCCACCTGCCCTGTCCCTTCCCAAGTTGAGGGTCCCAAGGGCCCTCCTTGATGCAATCCGTCTGGAAGGCCCTCAGCCTGGGCAGTGTGGTGGTGAGGAGGCCACCTGTGTGTGGGGACAGCTGCATGGGGTGATTCTGGGGCCTGATCAAATAAGTAATACATGGGACAGAGCACAAGCCAGGCTTCCCCGTCACAGGGAGAGCTGCCAACATGGCAAAGGGAAATAATAGGATGAAGGCGGCATGCTGGCCGGGGACTGGAACCGGGACCTGCGCATGAGTGTGCAGAAGAGCTATTTATGTACCTGGCCTGGGGCTGCTGTCTACAGAAAAGCCATGAGCAAGGCAAGCCC